AGGAGTGGTATTGCTGGGTCAAATGGGAGCTCAATTTCTAATTTTTTGAGAATCATCCATACTGTTTTCCAAAAGGGCTGAACCAGTTGGCATTCCCACCAGCAGTGAAGGAGGGTCCCTTTCTCGCCACATCTGTGCCAGTACCAGTTGCTTTTGTTCTTGTGGATGTGGGCCAGTCTCTGTAGTGTGAAATGATATCTCATTGTGGTTTTGATCTACATCTCCTGATGATTAATGATGTGGAGCATTTTCTCATGTGCCTTTTAGCCATTCGTATTTCTTCTTTGAGAAAGTTTCTGTTCATTTCATCGCCCCAGTTTTTGATGGGGTTGGATGTTTTCTTCTTGTGGAGTTCAACCAGTACTTTGTATATCCTTGATATCAATCCCTTGTTGGCATCCCTGATTCTTGACCATCAATGGAGGTTGGAATTTCGGATTCTTTTCTCTCATTTGAGTGAAATGTGATACTCCGAGCATAGCTCTTTCGATTCCTCTTTGGGAGACCCGAATAGCATTCTCATCCTGTTTTCATAGGGCCCAGGTCTCTGAGGAGTATGTTAATGCAGGAAGAACAGTGGAATCGAAGAGATGTGCTCTTCGTCCTCTTAGCTATTTCTTTGATGCTCTTGAAGGCGTTCTAAGCCTCTCTCTTCCTCCTGCGCAACTCAGGTGCCAGGGTATTTGTCATGTTGACTTCTCAACCTATGTACAAATAACTGTTGCATTTGGAGATGTTCATTCCGTTGAGAGTGAATGGAACGTCAGGAACGAGACCATTTCTCATAAACATTGTCTTCATGAGATTTAGCTGTAGTCCGACCTTTCCACACTCATGATCGAAGTCGGCCAGCATTTGTGCTGCTTGGCTAATGTTTGGTGTTATTACAATGATGTCATCAGCGAAGTGGAGGTGGTGTAGTTGCCGACCGTCTATCTTCACTCCCATTCCTTCCCATTCCAGTTATCGCAAACACAGCTCATTACAAGGAAATCTTATTTAGCAAACTTTAGTTATGCTGAATTTATTTCATGTGTATGTAAGTAAGTAAAGTAAGTAAAGGCCCTCCCGTTGATCATCAATTTGCTCGAGCAGGCCCAGTAACATCTCCATTGGAGACTTTGTTGTTACTGTGTCTGGCATACCGAATACGTCACGGGGAGCTTGCCAGGCTCTGCTGTGCGGGCGAGATACTCTCGGTAGCTTGCCGGGCTCTCCGAGAGGGGCGGAGGAATCGAACTCGGGTCGGCCATGTTGGCTGCGTGCAAGGCAAAGGCCCTACCGCTGTGCTATAGCCCCAGACTTCTATACATGTGTATGTATAGATGTTAAAAACCACTGTGTGTCAGTATTTCATAAAACCTTGGTACGATCATTGTGTGTTCCTTTTTTGGTTTCCTTTTTTAAATTTCAAAAGACAATGTGACCTTTTGTGCCACCCCTGCAGGTGCCGCTGATAGATCTCACGCTTGGGAGAACCTGGGTCCTGTATGCTGCATGATGGGAATCTTCTAATCTGATAGTCTTCCTTAGAATAGCTGGGTTTAGCAATTGCTCAATCCTTTTCAATCCTTTGACTTGTTTTTTTTTTTATTTTTTATTTTTTATTTTTTTGCTTTTTTGCGTTCCACCCTGTGATACTCAGATTTCTCCTGGCTCTGCACTCAGGGATTACTCCTGGTGGTGCTGAGGGACCACATGGAATGCTAGGAATCAGCTGCATACAAGGCAAACACCCTCCCAGCTGTTCTATTGATCCAGCCCCTTGCCATTAAAAGAGACAGGAAATATAAGAACCTGATAAAAATAGATTGTGTGTGTGTGTGTGTGTGTGTGGCTGTGTATATAAGTAATTTCCTTTATTGGCATTGTTTTGGTTTTGCCTGCTCGAGTTTTATGCCTGTTCATTTTCATCACTATTAAGTTATAAGAAGAAAACCTTAGAGAGGAACAGGTATAGAATGGCTCATTCATTTGTAGGATATAAATATATAGTATGAGACTAATTGCCAAGGCAAGTGGCCTGGAGGACTGGTCAAGTGTGAAAAGCTTGCCACAAGAGTGTGTGGGGACAAAGGATTAAGAAGGGACAAGCGTGACAATAATATTTAGAAATGATCATTTTGGACAGGAACTGAGAGTTGAATGTAGGTAAAGGGATATACCTGATAACCTTTCATTATCTGTATTGCAAACCATAAGTCCCAAAGGGTAAAACAGAGGGTAGGGGGAAGAGAAGAAAATTTCTGGCCATAATAATGGCAGGTGGGGGCTGCGGGTGTGAAGGGTAGGGGGATCATTGGTGGTGGGACAAGCACACTGGTGAAGCAAGGGTGGGGGGTTGAAACATTATATGACTGAAATCTAATCATGAACAACTCTGTAATGTGTTTATCACTGTGATTCAATAAAAATAATTGTTTAAATGAAAAATAAATAAATAAATAAAGAAGAAGAAAACTTTAGGTTAGGAAAAATGCTCCATCCTAATGTGTCCCTGTACTATGAAACATTGTAGGGGAAAATAAGTAGGAGGTGAACGTCTGATAACAATGAATGAGTTTTATGTCCTATAGGTAAAGGAGATCCTGATTCTTTTTTTTTGTATATTTATTCTTTTCATTTTTATTTTTGTGGGCCACTCCCAGCAATGCTCAGGGGACCTTGGGTGCCAGGGATCAAACTAGGGCTCCTGCAGGTAAAACATCCCTTTGAGCCTTTGAGCCCTCTCCCTGTCATTCTCTTCTTGAGGAAGGACCTGTCCAGCAGTGCTCATGGCCCCTTGGGGCCAGTCCCAGTGATGCTCCTTTCCAGTAGTACTGATCCCCTGGTAGTGCTGCATGTGATACAGAATCAAACTCTGGGCTTTGCTCGCCGGGCCCGTGCTCCAGCCCTTGAGCTATCTCTCCAGCTCAACCTACTTATTCTCTATGATGCTCTTGATGCTGTAGGTGGAGGTAAGGGGTGCAAATATTACTTAAGGGTACTTAGAGAACTAGAACAATTAAATTTCTTTGATAATTGTTACCCCTCAACTGGTAGTCAGGAATATGCCTTTCCCCCTCTTTTGTTTCATTTTTATTTTTGGACCCACAGCCAGCAGAACTCAGAGACTGCTCCTGGCTCTGTGCTTAAGAGTGACCTCTGTTAGTTTGGGAAGGAAAATATGCAGTTCTGGGAGTCTGAACCTGCATTGGCAGGATGCAAGGCCTTAACCCCTGTATTCTTTCTCTCTGACCCACTTTGAAAATATATTCTTGGGGCTGGAGCAGGTGCAGATAGTAAGGCACTTGCCTTGCACACAGCCCACCCAGATTCAGTCCCTAGCATTGCACATCGTCCCCCAGGCACTGCCAGGTATGATCCCTGAATGCAGAGCCTAGAGTAAACCCTGAGCACAGCCAGGTGTCATCCAAAAAGTATTCTTTTTTTTTCTTTTTTGGGTCACACCTGGCGGTGCACAGGGGTTACTTCTGGCTCTGCACTCAGGAACTACTCCTAGTGGTGCTCAGGGTACCATATGGGATGCTGGGAATCGAACAAGGGTCAGCTGCATGCAAGGCAAATGCCCTACCCACTGTACTATCATTCTAGCCCACCCCAAAAGTATTCTTAAAAGCCATGTGCAAAACAGTTGTGATTTAATTTCCAAAGACTAAAGCATAACTTGCGGGCTGCAGCAATAGCACAGCGGGTAGGGCGTTTGCCTTGCACACAGCCGACCCGGATTCGATTCCCAGCATCCCATATGGTCCCCCGAGCACTGCCAGGAGTAATTCCTGAGCGCATAAGCTAGGAGTAACCCCTGTGCATCGCAGAGTGTGATCTCCTCCTAATAACTTGCTACTTTACTAATTGCACCAATTATTTATTTATATACTTACATATTCATATTATTTCCCTTCCTAGTGTTGCTGTTGTTGCGATGGGGGGGGGGGGCGGAGGAGGGAGGGTGTCACATCCGCTTTTAGTGTTTGAACACTTGGCTACAGTGCTTGCCAGGGGGCGTACCACTAAATTAACAGCAGGACCCAAACTCTTTTAGTCATGGTTCTCTCTCATGCTGCTTTAGTAATGGCACACACCTGTCGAGAGAACACACAATGTAGCAGCACTGGGGGTCCAAGATAGTGGGGTACACCAGGGATCAAATGCATGGCCTTATGAGGCAGGCAGTGTTAGCCCCCAAACCATCCCTCGGATCTCCCTGTATCTATTTTTATTTTATTTTATTGGTCTCCCATCATCAGGCTGGAGTAGGGTATTTGCCTTGCACGCGGCCGACCCAGGTTAGATTCCTCTGCCCCTCTCAGAGAGCCTGGCAAGCTAATGAGAGTATCTCGCCCACAGGCAAAGCCTGGCAAGTTACCTGTGATGTATTCGATATGCCAAAAACAGTGACAACAAGTCTCACAATTTGTTGTGAATGTTACTAATGCCCACTCGAGCAAGTCAATGAACAACGGGAGGACAGTGCAGTGCAGTGCTATTTTATTTGGTCGGGGGGCTTACACCTGATGCTGGTACTCATGTCCTACTCTTGAATCTGCATGCAAGGATACTCCTACTGGTGCTCGGGGGACCATATGTAGTGATGGGGATTAAACCCGGGTTGGCTGCAAGCCAGACAAGTGCCCTGCCACTGTACTCCAGCCCTCTGTCTATTTTTAAAACAATCTGGAATCCAAATGTAAAAAAATAAATAAAGTCAGACTTCCCAGCTTAGGATTCCTCCTTTCATTTTCTAACTTAGTTTTCATGAAGAGCCAGAAATGGTAACTTCTTACCATTTGTTTCTGATTTGAATGGTTAGCAGCAGTTTAATGGGATTTTTCTTATTTAAAAATTTAGCATTATTGCTCTTAGTAAAAACTAAACAAGTGAGTTTTTCTTGCTGATGTTCATGAAGATGGGGGAGGATGGAAGATAAGAAACCTTAAGTAGAATAAGCCTACCATGATAAATGGTAAAATTCCTGTATTTCTGTTTTTCTTTTCTAGCTTGTTCGTTTTGGTTTAAGTAACCAACTGGTGGTTGCTTTTAAAGAAGAAAACACTATGGCTTTTAAGCACTTATTTTTGAAAGGCTATTCGGGCGTGGATGAAGATGACTACAGTTCTAGTGTGTACACTCAAGAGGACGCTTACGAAAGCATCTTTTTTGCCATTAATCAGGCAAGTATTCTGTTGCGAATGACCTATCCTTTAGGAACATACTGATACTTGACCTCAACAACAACAAAACAACAACAACAAAAATTATACCATACAAAATATTCTAAGGTAAATATTTCCTGAATTCTCCAAAGATGTTTATTGCTATTTCTGTAGCTACAAATTTCATCACGCAAAACAATTTTTCCTGTTTGAAATTTGTGTTTCTTTTTACTTTGGCTTTGGGGCTACACCCAACCATGCTGGAGATTAAAACCCACAGTTCCTGCATGCAAAACAAGCATACCAGCCCTTGGAGTTCTCTCCCTGGCCCCAATTTTTTTTTTTAAGTTTTAATTTGTCCCTTCATGTAGAAGTGTCCCAAAATACCAGAGTCTCTTGAATGAAGGGATAGTAAGACAAGTTAGGCAAATTGTAAAGTTGTGCTAATTTAAGGGTAAGTTTTGTCAGTCCGTGTTCATGTAAACTGTCAGGGGTGGTTGGCTTGGGTCTCGGTAATAGGTTAGGAACTGCTCATTGCTTTGGAATAAAGCAGGGGAGAAGATGAATATGCCTGGTGATGTCAGTGAGCTGGGTGACAAGCGACTGCAATTTCATGGGAAAGGGATTTTCACTGAGGTGGTGATACTGGAGTCAGGAACTGAAGCTGTGAATCTCTCGGGATCATAGGACAGTCTAAGCCAGGGAACAGCCAAGATCCCAGGAGGTTATACTGCTGGAAGTGCTGGCCATCCCAGGGACACTGGCAGTGGGGGCACAGCAGGGATGGAGCAGGCTCCAGGTGGGGAAGGCAGGCAGCCTAATGGTGTGGGCGGGGGCACCTGGAGCACAAGTTCTGGAGAGTTTTTTTGACATTGGGTATTTCCGCTCAGCCAGAGAAAACTGGCTTGTGGTATTTTGCACTGGGCACAGTCTCCTGAGAAATCTGAGAGAACAGCAGCCAGAGGGGGGCCGAGATAGAGTTTGCGTGTTGACTGTTGACTCTCAAAAGCTCCCATGCTTTTTTTTCCCTTTTAAACAGTATCATCGTCTAAAGAACATCTCTGTAGGGACCCTTGATTATGGAAAAAGTGAAGACAACGGAATTGGCTTGAAAGTATGTAAGCAGCAGTACAAGAGAGGGGCCGTGTTCCCTTTGAATGAGACTCTGAACATTGACAGCGACATTGAGAGAGGTGATGCCCTCCCCCTCCGCCGCCACACACACATATCCCTTTACATCAGCGCTGAAGAGTAGGAGTGCCCTCCTGGGCTGGCAACCTAAGACCCCCTTGTTTAGTGAAAGCCCAGCTGTTGCAGGCTCTTGCTGTCACAGTTGCTGAGAGTGTCTCGGTTCAGGAAACTTAGGGTCTAAGTCATAGGTCTAGAGCGCTTTGGTGATAGGTCTAATGCTCTTAGGATTCTTTAGGGGCTAAGCAGGTGTTTCCTGTATAGTTTTTTTGTTGTTGTAGTTTCTCAAGGAGGGGTTAGGGTTTTTGAAAAAAAAAAAGAGAGAAATCTGCTTTTATTCAATACTAGGTGTAAAATGCTTTCTATACCTTATTATTATTATTATGACTTATAAAATCTAGGCATATCATCAGTGTTCACTGTGATTAAGCATCAGCTTTCTCTTTTAGGAAATGACTTGACAAAAAGCTCAGATGAAGTGGAATCCTTGGGTGGAATCTGTTGCGAATTTAAAAGCAGGGATGCGGGGGGGTGGGGCTGTGGCTCAGTGACGGAGTGCACACTTGCACCTGGGGGGCCCTGCGTGCCAGCTGAGGCCTGGTTTGCGCACCACCATTGGAAACAGCAACAGCAACAAATGACAATAAGAAAACAACCTTGGGGCCGGAGCGATAGCACAGGGGGGTAGAGTGTTTGCCTTGTACACGGCTGACCCGGGTTTGATCCACGGCATTCCATATGATCCCTCAAGCACTGCCAGAAGTAATTCCTGAGTGCAGAGCCAGGAATAACCCACGCGCATCGCCGAGTGAGGCTCAAAAAAGAAAAAAAAATTAAACAACCTTGTTTTTGGAAGTGTAAAATTTGACTTAAGACTCTATAGGGCTCTTGTTAGTCATTCAACAAACCTCTGTCTTATTCCTCTGTTTTCCCAAGCAGTGTCCATGTGTGGGGGAGAACTGCCAGCCATCCTCAACCACCTGAGCTGCTGATTCCGAACTAGGGTCTCAGGGTATGGTGCTCAGGCCTTGTGGTCCTGGGGATCACTGGGACCACCCTGCTGGTGTTCTGGGGCTTCCAAGTCTACACCCAGCAACGTGTAAATGACTATCTGAAGCAAGGCACACCTGTGTCCTTGTCCCTCTGCTATTTCCCCAGGCTCTCAACCAACTTTGTTTTTTATGTGAGATGGTGAAAATTAATCACGCAGGGCTGAAGTAGCCAGCAGTCAGGAGCAGGAGTCATAGTCACAGTTTATACAGGGGAGGGAGGGAGTTGGTTTTGGTTTTGGTTGTGGCCATACCCAGTGATGTTCGGCGTCAGCGGATGCCCTAGTAGGTGAAAGCTGGGGCTGAACATGTGGTGAGTGACTCCTCTTCATGTGCCTCTCGAAAACGCTATGACTCAGGGGGATGCACCACACAAGTGATCTACCTGTGGCTTTCTGTAACTCTTTCTGAACTCTCCTGGAAAACAGATGTAAGAAATGTGATCAAAGTTCAAGTCTCTGGCTGAGTAGAACATGCAGTAGCAGGAAGCAGGATTTCTTTCTGCACAGTAGTGCCTGCCATTCTTTCCTATGTCAGATTATGGATTTTTTGTGTGTGAGTTTGTTGGGTGGCGGGGAGCACAACCCGAGATGTTCCAGGCTCTCTACTGGCTCTAAGCTCAGGAATTGCTCCTGGAGGTGCTTGAGAGACTTTATGGGATGCTGAGGATCAAACCTAGGTCAGCCGCAATGCAAGGCCTTACCGCAGTACCATCTCTCCTGCCCCCAGAATATGGAATTTTTTAAAACCAAACGGAAAGAACTTGATTAATTTGATTTTGAGAAACTGCTTGTATATTCACTGTATTCTTTGAGTTGTTAAATTTGATTTATCGAAAGAAGTCTTTTTTTAAAAGAAAGAAAATATCTACTCACAAGATAATATTCTTGTAAATTTGAGAGTGGATTTTAGATTATTTTCTTAGATGCTTTGGATGAAGCCCAAAGATTATATAAATGGGAGTTAAGTTTGAACCCATTAGGGACTTCGTAGATTTTCATTTTGTTTTTGTTTTGTGATGTCAGGAATTGAATGCTCTGCCTCACACAAGCATGGGAATGAAATACAAGTGAACTAAGCTCAGGTCCAGACAGTGGGCAAGATAGTTTAAGTAGAGAATTAGCAACTATCTAGATGACTTGTTTGCAGGTTATATATTGTATTCACAGTGCAGGGAATCACCCTGAGGATGGCCTGTTGAGCAGAGTTGTAATTGGTCAGGCCAAGGGTTTTCCTGTGTTCCTGATATGGACCCACCTCTCCATTTGTGTCTCCAAATCTGTAGCACTACGTTTCACTCTCCATTAGGAATCTTGCTCAGAATACTTTGATACCAAATAGATTTTAGGTGCCTTCTGTTCTCCTTTCCATGTGATGTTCTGACACTCCATAATTGTTCCTGCTGTTTTAAGAACATATCTGATCCATCCTCTCTTCTTTTTCTAAGACGTGACTATTTCACTAGCCTTGTTCATTTGCTCAAATTCTTTGTTGTGTAAGTGAAAATTATTTGAATGATGGGGTTGCTAGCCTTAGACTAATGTTCTTTTTGAAGCATAAGGTTTTTGTCATACTTCAGAAAAAAGAAACAAAAACAGAACCCAGTCCTTAGGTCGTGCTGCCACCATGTGCTCAGTGGCCAAATAGCAATAACTGTGGCAATAAAGCTACAAGTAAACCTTGGGGTTCTAAAAACAGATTTAAAGAAAGGCTCACTCAAGAATTGCAAACAATGTAACATAAAATTTGAGTAAAATTAATTTATAAGGCAAATTATAGATAGTGTAGTTAAATTTTTTGAAGTCATACTTCTCTGCATTTAATATGCTGTAATTTTTTTAAAAAGGCTTTTTTTTTCTTTTTTCTCTTTGCTTTTGGGGATACACCTAATGGTGCTCGGTGCTTCTGGTTCTGCATTCAGGAACCATTCCTGGAGGATCTGGGGAGTCATATGGGGTTCCGAGGATCAAACCAGTATCAGCAGCATGCAAGGCAAGCACCTTAATCCCTGAATCATCTGTTAAATCCATGAAAATACATTCTGAAGTTCTGAAGGCAGTCAATAGGAGAATCTAGATGTTGAGGTCAAAGAATCTTCAAATAATTGGTTCTCAGAAATATTCGTCAGGTTCCCCATTTCTAGCTTGTGTAGTTTCAGAAAAAGACTTTGTCCTAATTCATCCAAGTCAAAAAGATTGGAAGAAAAACTGGAAACATTAGTTTTGTTGCAGGCTGATAGATGGAGAACCCTAAGATGAGTTTTGGGGAAATAATAAAACTATCCCTGAAGCAGCCCAAAGGCACGAGAACTGCATCCCCTTGAGATGCAAAGTCTGAACTCTGGAGAAAATGAGCCACTACCCAAAATAAGAAACTGAGACACCATCCAGAGAAGGATGGATCCCCTTGAAAAAAAGAGCTTTGGGAGAATGTAAAGGTCATAATAAGAATCTGAAAGGGCCATCCAGAATCCAAGAATAGTTCTTTGTGACAATGCCCAGATTAACTTTTCTCTGCAGTGAGCATTCCAGGCCAAGACAGGAAGAAGTCCTTCTATAAAACCAACTTTGGAAAGGTGTGTAGGGCTCACACTCCACCCTGGAGATTGGCCAGCATCTTGACCTAAAATGTGTTTCCTTTTTTAACTTTATGGCCTATTTTCCAACTTGGAGACAGGCCTGCATTTCAACCTGATGCATACTCTTTGCTTTTTCCTTCTCGAGAAGTCAGCATTCTCTCTTAAACAAGTATCTTTCTCTCTCTTTCCCTCCCCTCGCTTGTCTCTGACTAAACTTCTTTAAATGAAACTCTTTCACTTCACTATTTCATCTCCTGAAATTCTTTTCTGTGAGGGAACATGATGTTTCTGGAAAACCTAGGACTGACTTACTTTCCTTTTCCTGCAAAGAACAATTTCTTGCTCCAGCCTGAGTCCACAGGTCCCTGAGAACATGGGTGTTGGGGACCAGTGCCCACGCTGTGTAGATTAAGTGAGCTACAGACACAACTTGATATGCCCCATGGAACTGGTGACACTCCGGCGTCCAGTCCCTCTAAGTGCCCACAGATGGCTTTACCATCACTAACCCACATCGGGCATTCCTGGGGTGACTGACGGTGGGGGGTGGGGTTGACAGATGGGCAGATGGGTGGTAGCACTCTTTTTCTCTGGGCTACTCCCTTCGCTCTCCACCCACTCAAGTCACATGCAGCCTAACTGGTGAGATATCCAGGACTCAGGTGATATGCTGTGTGATTTGTGAATTCCCCGGAAAGTCACTTATTTTGGTGGGACTCCCATCTCTCCCACCTGCAAGTTTGGAAGGTAATAATCAGATATTAGAAGAACTCAGTCCAGTCCAACATAAGTAGAAAGCAAAGATTTCAAAAATCATCAGAACTAGAAGTTCTTCAAAAAGTTCCAAAACATTTTATTTCTATACTCATTTCAATTGTAATGAATTTAATTCCAATTTAAAATTGTTCTGAAAATAAAAATCCAGTTCCTATACATCTGATCTCTTTGCATAAGGGCAGTAAGATTAGCGAGCCATACAGACTAGTGGTTTTCAACCACATCATACCTTGGAGTTGGAAATAGCTGATATTGACTCTTAGTTTGCTGGATATTTTCATAAAAAGTTGAGCTCCTAATGGTTTCTCAGGACTCTCGGAAGCCAAACCAAAATCTCACTATTATTCTCTGCCTGCAATAGCTATGTCTTTGGGTTAATTTCTTTTCTCGTACAAAGTCTCAAAATATACTCGAGTTTCTGGGTTTTTTGTTTGTTTGATTTACGGCTGTCCAGTGATGACTCAGTGGTGACTTCTGACTCTACAGTCAGGAATTACTCCTGGCGGTGCTTGGGGGACCATATGGGATGTCAGGAATTGAACCCAGCTTACCCAGGGGCAAGGCAAACTCTCTAGCCACTGTACTCTCACTTTGACCCCAATACTGAAGTTTCTGGACCTGCAAAGTGTCCTTGTCTCTCCTGATATACTGTCTGGCACCGTATCACCAACGTATTAGGCTGCTTTCTCTTTGTTACCTTTCTCAAATTCAGTCAAAGTGTTAGCAGTATAGCCTTGTTGCCAGTAGTTAATTATAGGGAAACATAGATTATTTAAATATATGCAGATCAACATATTGCCATGAAAATGAGAATACTTACTGTTAGAAGTTTTCATATTCTGATGCAATCAGGGAGAGAAAGGCGAAATGTTTTAGTTCTATTCACAAAAAGGTCTAATTTACATTGCTGCAGGCCATAGCTAAAAACAGAAAAGAAATTATTTCTTCAAATCACAAACAGAAAAGACAAAATGTGAAAGCAAAATATTGATGTTTCCCCAAAAATGTTAAAATTACATTTGTCTGCAATAGTTTGTTCAGTCCTATGACCCTTAAGTGGTCCTGCGATCCTGTGGTACGCGATTTCAGGAGTTCCGTGAGACTGTTCCTCTTGCTCCACGATGCAGTTCTTCTCATTCCTAGGAAAGCCGAGCTTGATCACTCAGGGCAGTGTCTGTCAGAGGCTCTGCTTATAAAAGTTCTGTCCTTCCCTGTTACCGTTAATAAGGTTATGTCGGGACATCTTTGGAACATTGTATGTATCTTGCATCTCATCATACTCTGATCCACTAGTTTTAGCATCTGACTTTTGCCTGAAGCAACCGTGTGTGTTTTCTTTGCCCTAGATTGTGACTACTTGGCCCTCCCGACTCTTTCCCAGAAGCCCCAGGAATGGAAGAGCTCGCCATTCTTCAAACTAGATTTTTATCGGTAAATGTATTTGAAGTCATTTCCCAGGAGACGGGAGTGGGGAGAGAAGATGAAAGCAGTAAGACTCTGTCACTCCATTCCTTGTGGAATTCCCTTTTTCAGGCTCTTACAGGTTGAAATCTCCTTTCACCTAAAAGGCATCGACCTACAGACAATTCACTCCCGAGAGCTGCCAGACTGTTATGTCTTCCAGAACACGGTGAGGGTCTATCTTATTAAGCCATGTTTGTGATTTTTCTCTACCCTTTGTAGATGCAGAGTATAAAACACATCCACCTGAATGTGTATTGGAAGCAGTTGAATTGAAAACATTTTCATTTAAACTATTTAAATAGTGACATGGTAGAACAGGATGTAAATCCAGAGTGTCACATTCAGGCATGCACCTTCTCACAACCTACACCCTGAAGTATCTCAGCTGTTTTAGTTGCATGATAGCATGAGTGATGGAACAGCCCTGGCTCCTGAAAATAAGCAACTCTTTCCAACTTTAGAGTCTATTTATTGTTATTTTTAACCTAGGATAGCTCCTCTGGAGCACTCAGGGGCTCTAGGGCCACTCCTGGCAGTATTTGGCCAAGCAGGCCAGAGATTTCAATGCTGAGTTTTGAAGATGAGGTGCTGCTCCAGCCCATTAGTGCTCATGCTGTTCCAGCCTTGATCTGGGGGCTATGTACATAAAAGTCATGCATCCTGATCGCCCAAGCCGTCTCCCTGGGCACCTTTTTCACCTTATACAAATTTGATTACTGCATTGGAAAGAGTTTTGAAAGGTGGATTTGATCTCCTACTCTCCTGATTTTTATTTTTGGGCCATCTCAGGCAGTGCTTGGGGGACCTTGCAGAGCTGGGGATTGAATGCAGGGTCCCACATGCAAAGCCTGTGCTCTGGGCCTTTACACCACCTCCTTAACCTCCTAATACATTATTTTTGGTAGTGGGCATAGTTTTGTGCCACCTGCTGCACTGCTCAGGGGCTATTCCTGGCTCTGTGCTCAGTCAGGAGTGACCTGGCGGAGTTCAGGGAACTATATCTGGAGTCAGAGATCAAACCTGAGTCAGGTCACAGGACTGCATGCAAAGCAAGCACCTTTCCCCTTGTACTATCCATCCAGCTCCTGATGCATTTTATTTATTTATTTATTTATTTATTTATTTATTTTGCTTTTTCGGTCACACCTAGTGATGCTCAGGGGGTTACTCCTGGCTTTGCACTCAGGGAATTACTCCTGGCAGTGCTTGGGGACCATATGGGATACTGGGGATCGAACCCGGGTCAGCTGTGGCTGTGTGCAAGGCAAATGCCCTACCCGCTGTATTATCACTCCAACCCCTCCTGATGCATTTTAAAAAAAGTGTATGGTGAGTTTTTAAAGTGCCCATATTGTCCTCCCCACTTTTAACAGAAGGTCTTTGCAAAAGTAACTTATTTTTGAAGCTGGCGAGCAGACCTTGGAGAGTGTCTTTAGATCACTTGAGTCTGTGACCTAAAGACCAGTCTGTAGAGCACTGGAGGCCACTTCTCTTTGGGTTGAGGCACATATGGGCGAAGCCTCCTGCCTTCTCTCCTTCACAGAGCATCATAAAGGTTTTCTTTACCATTTATTGAGACATTCTGAGCTTTAAAGCTAAGTGGTGAGAGTTGAAATTTGTCCTGTCCATCATCGGCTTAGCTATTTGGAAAAGAGCTTCTTCATTCTGTCTGTAGAAGCTCATGACTCCCAACCACCGCACCTTTGGCCATGCTGTAGAAACTGTCCAGTAGAAGGGAGAGAATGAGACAGAGAAACGAAAGTCATTGTAAATTGTGACATTGCAGTGAGCACTATGAGTCTACCCACCCTCACCCCCGCCCATGTGGTGACCACCCCAAGGTATTACAAAACACATTACAAAATCCCAGAAACTCACTGGCAACAAGATTGGAGCATGAATGTGTAGGCAACCTGTGATTAAATCCATAAGCACATGATCATTGCAAGCACAAGCCTGGCCTAATGTGATCCAAAGTATTCTTGCGATCAAGCAGGAGGCCTGAGAAATAACCACGAGTTAGCCACTAACCCTCACACCCACGATGCTTGTTTCTCTCAGAAAGCCTCAAAACTGCTTCTCCAAAGCTCTAAATGTTCAGCAACTGTTGATATACTTGAAATAGGAGGAAAGTGTGGTGGGTATTTGGAATTCTTAAATGCCAACTGGGAGTTTCCTAAGGCAGTGGTTTTCAACCTTTTTACACTTGTGGGTTGATGAAAATAGGAGAAACATTTTGCAGATGCTAAGGCAGAAATTAAAAAAAAATTAGTAGTGTTTATAAGAGTAAAGTATAAGAGTAGCACTACACTATAAGAGTAGTACTACATGATCTAGGTGTAATGTGTTAAATGACAATCACTATTTTGTGGACTGGCAGGAAATTCCTGTGGATCATCACCAGTCTATAGACTAGCAATTGAAAACCAATGTCTGAAAGTACACGAGAAAGAATTTCCAGCCAAGAAAAAGCTTATAGATTCATGTCGGAAGTATTAATTTGAAGTGAATGTGTTTGTAGGGGAAGCAGAGGAAGCAGAGTGTGTTTGGGTCATACCCAGTGGTATTCCAGGGTAACTACCAACTCGGTGCTCAGAGGTCTCACGGTAGTCCAAGAGACTAGAGACTGAACCACAGTTGACTGTACCAAAGCAGGGCCTTAACCCCTGTTCTCTGTTCCCTTGAAGAAAAGACCAGGTAGTATAACTGAGACCTTTATGTTCTCTTGTCCAAGACTAGTGAGTTCTCATTCTATGTTCACAGGAATGGTGTTTCATTTTCGCATTTCTCTGAACCAGAATGTTGATTTACTTAACTGGTGTTTATTCCCCTTTTGCACCAATTTTTTTCGCTTTTTTTGGGTCACACCTGCCTGGCGATGCACAGGGGTTACTCCTGGCTCTGCATTCAGGAGTTACTCCTGGCGGTGCTCAGGGAACCATATGGTCGGCTTCGTGTAAGGCAAACGCCCTACCTGCTGTGCTATCTCTCCAGCCCCCGCACCATTGTTTTTTTAATTGATAAAAGAAAGTGGTGAAGGAATCATTTGATGACATCTTCTTAGTGTCCTTCTTTCTGGATTATCAGGCTGTTTGCATGCTGCAGATATTTTCAGAAGAAAATATCTAAGGAGTCTTATTTTCTTCTGGGTTGTAACCTTCTCGTGCTTTTGTGTCTCCAGATTGTCTTTGACAATAAAGCACATAGTGGAAAAATCAAAATCTATTTTGACAGTGAGGCCCAGATTGAAGAATGCAAAGACTTGAATATATCTGGAACTAGTAAGTATTTATATACTGAACCCTTGCTTTTTATCATTTTATTTTAGGATTTGGGATCTGTGTGTGGTTTATTTGGATAGAGCTCAAGAAACTCACATTTTGAGTATTCAGTTTCAAAAAGCAGTTTTCAGTACTTAGGTTTTTTGGTTTGTTTTGGGGGCCATACCTTGTGGTGCTCAGGGATTGCTCCGAGTTCTGTGCCCTAGGATCAATCCTGGCAGAACTCAGTGGACTTATGTGGTGCTGGGAATCAAGGTCAGCAACATGCAAGACAAGCGCCTTGCCTGCTGTACTAGCTCTGACCCTGCACTGTTGTTCAGAAAATCATGATTATATTAGAAGAGGTAGGAGGGTCTAAGAGTTAAGAGTCTGGTGCCCGGGTTAATCTTGGTTCATTTACTATGGTTGTGATCTTAAACAGATTATTTAATCTTATCCCTGTGTCTCAGTCGCTTTCTCTTCAAAGTGAGGATAATTATAGTCCTTATATTCAAGGATGTTGAGTATTAAATGGGTCTGTACGTAAAAGCAAAGCACTCAGAAGATGAGTTGGCATACAGTGCCTCCCAATGGAGGTGGTCACGCTGATAAAGTCCTAATGTGTTGTGGGTCGTTTCCTTACCAACGAAATGCCGTGTTGGATTTCGGAAGGGAGAATATTGGAAACAACATATCCGTCCTGCGGAATTTGGTATGTCGGCAGGTGGACGTGGCTATCGAAGAGATCTGAGTAGAAGTCATGGATAATCTTCTCCATTGCCCTTCTGGAAGATGTGATAGATCCATCAGGATGTTGGAGGGCAGTCATCTTGGTCTTGTAGTTGGTGAAGGACAGGTGGGCGTTACAAATACTTTTCCCGGCTTCTGCCACATCTACCAGCACTTCTGCTCTTCTCTCTTTGAGGTCTTCCTTGATCACATCTCTGCACTGCTTTGCGAGCTCGGATGTTCTGTTCTCTTGCAGTTGCCTGAGGCATGCGCCAAACCACATTGGCGAATAAGCTTGAGAGTTTTCGAAGACAGGCATTTTTTTGTGGCTATCTCTCTCTTGGCGTTCCTCGCACAATCATGGAGGTGCTGAACCAGTCGATCGTATTCCTCATCAATGTTGTCGACAATGATATCTTCCCATGTTGCCGCAATAGTGCCAAAGAGCTCCCAGTTGGTGGTTGTTGTGGTAGTTCTCTTCTTAAACTTTGCAGCCCTTTCTCCCTGCTCTGTGAAGTAGAATTTTGCACAAAGGAGACGGTGGTCCGATCGCGTTTGAAATTTTGGGACAACAGCGACATCAATCGGGCAAAACCGTCGATTGAATATGATGTGGTCTGTTTCATTGTGGAACCGTCCACCGGGAGACTCCCATGTCCAACGTTTAGATTCGGCCTTCTGGAACTGTGAGTTACCATGGATGGTCTTGGTCGACATGATGAACTCAGACAGTTTCTCACCCTGTTCGTTCCATTCTAGGCCATGGGTACCTATGTGGATTTCTTTGGCTGATCTTCTCGGTCCTATCTTGGCATTAAAATCACCCACAGTGATCTTGTAGAAGCTGTGGTCTTCTTTATAGAACTTCTCCAGCTCCATGTAGAACTTCTCAATTTCTCCTTCGTCATAATTGGATGTTGGTGTGCAGACAACGAAGATAGAAACTGCCGGCAGTGAGCCACATCTATTCAAATGTAAACGTCCGATTCAGGTTGTTAGGCATTCGAATGAATCATTGCTCATGGCCAAGTTTGTGTTGACAAGGACACCGACGCCTCCAACACCTCTTTTATGGCATGTTCCGAGGAACAATTCTTCTCTAGTGTCTAAAACGGCGTGATGAGATTGGTGCCTTCTTGTCTCGGTCAGACCAATGATGTCATACTTGACCTTTTGCGCTTGTATCATCAGGTCCTTGATGGATGCATCTGTTGCTAGTGTACCTGCATTGAAAGTACAGACGATCATTTTTGTCTTCCATTTTGTCGGTAAAGAAATGAGCAGCACCTGGCCCAGACAAGGTCAGACCTGAACACCTGAAGAACCTGCCGTCAGTACTCATCAATATGCTGGCTCGGCTCTTCACACGCTACCCGTCTGAATGCAAGGTTCCGTCCCAATGGAAAACCAGCAGGACTATACTACTGTACAAGAAGGGAGACATCCATGACATTGGCAACTATCGCCCAATCTGCCTATTGTCTGTCATCTACAAGCTGTTCACTCAAGTCATCCTGAATAGGATTGGCAGAACACTAGATGAAGGACAACCATGTGAGCAAGCCAGGTTCCGCAAAGGATTCAGCACCATCGACCATATCCACACGATAACCAAGCTCATTGAGGTTTCTCGGGAGTTCAGGGCATTCAAACTCAATACATCAGGATCCTCCGGGAGCTGTATTACGGATTCACTACCAGGATCTCACCATTCTACAAAGAAATAATCATTGATGTCAAGAGAGGGTGTCCGTTCGAGCAAATCAATGATTAACAGAAAGTCAAGTGATCAAGTGATCAAGTGTTGTGGGTCAGTGTAAGTTAGTGGAGGTACTAGAGGCAGAAGGAGAAAGAACAACAAAGTTCCTTTTGATGGGGGGCAGCATGCAAAACAAAATCTAACAGGGGTTCACTCCTGGCTGTGTCCAGGGCATTGTATGTGGTGTGAGGGATTGAACCTGGGACAGCTGCAAGCAAGGCAAGCGCCTTATCAGCTGTACTATCTCTCCAGCCATTTTTCCCATTTTTATTTATTTAATTTATTATTATTATTATTATTATTATTATTGGACTAGAGTGATAGCACAGCGGGTAGGGCATTTGCCTTGCATGCAGCCGACCTGGGTTCGATTTCTTTGTTCCTCTCAGAGAACCCGGCAAGCTACTGAGAGTATTCTGCCTCCACAGCAGAGTCTGGCATGCTACTGTGGCATACTCAATATGCCAAAAACAGTAACAAGTCTCACAATGGAGACGTTACTGGTGCCCGCTCGAGCAAATCGATGAACAGTGGGACGACCGTGCTATCATAATTATTATTATAATTATTTTTGCCTTTTTTGGTCACATCTGGCGATGCACAGGGGGTATTCCTGGCTCATGCACTCAGGAATTACTCCAGGTGGTGCTCCGGGATCATATGGGATGCTGGGAATCGAATCTGGGTTGGCCACGTGCAAGGCGAACACCCTACCCGCTGTGCAATCGCTCCAGCCCCAGTTTTCCCATTTTCAAATGAGCCTACTTTAAGTGGTTATGATTTGGTCCTAGTTATAGATCAGATTGGAAGGTGGAAGATGCCATCCTGGCTTTCCACAGGCTTTCTGTCCCAGTGTCCCGCGAATCAACCCCCTTCCTTCTGCCCATTTCCCTTCCTTCAAAACATCTCCATCAGTACTGGGGATTGAACCAGGGCCACAAGCCAGACAAGTGTTTTAACCTCTGTATTTTCTCTCCAGGTGCGCCCCCTCCCTACTTTTTCCCCCCAAATGATCTTGAGTGCTGTTGCTTTCTTACCTAACCGCAGATGGAATTTTTAGAGGTCTTGAACCACTCTGTAGAAAAAGACCATTGTCAGTTGCTGTTGGCTGCTGGGTTTATTCTCACAGACACCTGGTGTGGACTGTTTCCCCTGCCCTCCACGGGTCCATGACTCAGGCCTCAGTGCTCCCCAGGTTTTATAGCTGAGTGCCCGAGGCTAAGCTAGGTGCTCAGTGTGTGGCATACAGGCCAGCTGCGCTTATGCGCCCTGGGATAAGCTTTGCCACTCACAGCACTGCTCTGGGGCCCTGGTCACTACATCTATGGGCATGCTGCTTCTCTCCTCTTCTATGGACACACAGACTTCTCTGAAGAGCTGGCACAGTGCAACACCCCACATTCAGACTCACCCCAAAGGTCATGTTTTCCTGTTCTCACACATTGCTTCTCCCTGTCTTCCACACCTCCATCTTTCCTAGCCTGTATTTCTGTCTGTGTCCACACCCAGGGCTTCTGCTGCCACCATGTCATCTGTCTGTTTATGAATGTTGGCTGTCGGGTTCAACTCAGTAAACCCGGGACAGAAAACTCGAAGCCATTCTCAACTGACCCAGCTTCCTTCTTCTGAGGCCCATGTGGCTTCCAGAGGATTCCATTCACCCCTGATCGGGCCTTCTCTCCCTCTGCCTCTCACCTGCCTTCACGAGTTCTAGCAGGTCAGTCAGTGAGCACTTTTCTCTTGTCCTCTCGCGGGATCTCAGCACTGATTTGGAAGCAGGATGAGACATTATGCTTGGCACAGTCATTGCCTTATTGAACAACATGCATAGCTTGTTCTGGGGAGGGCTGCATCCCGCTGTGTTCAGGGCTTACTCCTAGCTGTGTCCTCAGGGATCACTCAGGACAAAATGGGATGCCAGGGACTGAACCAGGATTGTCCACATGCAAAGCAATCACATTAGCACTGTACTGTCTTTCTGGTTCCAAAATAAGATTTGTGGGTTTTTTTTGTTTGTTTGTTTTTTGTTTGGGGTTTATACCTGGCAGTGCACAGGGGCTATTCCTGGCTCTGTCACCATTAGAATGACACTAGCTGTGCTGGAGAGTAGTCAAATTAAGGTCAGCCATATCAGGGCCCAGCTTGTAGTGGGGAGAGATGGTATCATAATAACCACTCTCCGCAGTTACTACTTGCCTGGAGTTGTTCCAAGTGCTTCCACATAGAACCTGTTTAACAACAAACTCCATATGCAGGTATTTTTCATCTTTCCCATTTTTCTGATGAGGAGACTGAGCAGACTTCCTCAAGGCATTATAACTCCAGGGCCAGAGACGTTAACCCAGGCCATCATGCTGTAGAAACAGTCCTTTTGCCTTTTTTAACTGTCTCTGCTCCTTTGAGAGGATCACTAGGCAAAGGGCCCTAGAAGGAGTGGTCCATGGGGACCAGGAGGTGGGGTACTTGTGATTTGAAAGGGTACCACAGTGGATAGGGAGAGGTGGGCATTTAGGGATTCTGTTTTTTTTTTTTTTTTGTAGGAGTACTGCTATTTATTCAGCCACTGATTAGGCTGATTGAATTGTAACACCTTACTTTTTTTTCATTTTTTTAATAATTTTATTTATTGAATCACCGTGAGAGCAATTACAAAGCTTTCAGGTTTAAGTCTTCGTCATACAATGAAACACCCATACCTTCACCAGTGCCCATTCTCCACCACCAAAAACCCCAGTATACTCCTATCCCACACCCTCCCCCTACCTGTAGGGCAGATGATTTCCAAATTACTCTCTCTTTCCTTTGATCACACTCAATATTTTGACACCAGACCCACCGTTATTATTTGGGATTTTACCTCAACACTCAGATCTGCTGAAAAGGAAACAGTAGAAAATTTGTTTTCTATTGCTGGTTATGAATAGCATATGATGTCGCACGGCTGCAGTAGTGGCTGCATGATTTTGAAATTCCAAAATTTTAACAATTAAATCTGGAGGTATTTCTTGCCAAAACCTGCTGGGTTCCAAGATTTGTTCCTGAGTCTCTGGGATCATGGCCATTAAGCAGCTTGATCAGGAGCCAGAGAGGCCCTTCATGGGCGATGACTAGGGGTCTCATTGGGAAGGGGAGGAAATGGCCGGCTCCACCTCCATCCCATGAGGCCCCACGTGTCTTGTCACTGAGGGCCCAAACCTGACTGTTCAATGGCCTCTGGCAGATGGCGGCCACTGAGCCACCAAGGGGGAGCAGGCAGAGGGACAGCACCCTTTCCCCTCTGGGATGGCCCGGCGACAGTAACCTACTGTGGGGTCCAGACGCATTTCTGCCAAAAGCTTCTGGGTTTTGAGATTTGTTTCTCAGTCTCTGAGATCATGGCTGTTAAGCAGCTTGATCAGGAGCCAGAGAGGCTGTTCGTGTGCGCCAACTTGGGGTCTTGTTGGGATGGGGAGAAAAGGGCCGGCTCCACCCCATCCCTTGAGGCCCCTTGTGTCTTGTCATTGAGGGCCCAACCTGACTGTCCAGTGGCTTCTGGAGAATGGCAGCCACTGGGCCGCCAGGGGGAGCAGGCCAAGTCATGAAACCTATTTCCACCTAGGGTGGCCCAGCGCTGGTAACTTACTGCAGGGACTGGATGCAGTTTTGCCAAAAGCCACTGGGTTCCAAGATTCATTTCTGAATCTCTGGGATCATGGCCATTAAGCAGTTCAATCAGGAACCAGAGAGGCCATGCCTCCAATTATATAGCTGAACCAGAGGTGGTTTGTGGGTATGTCTCCCACATACCTAACTTTTGGTTGTTTACTTTCTTGGCAAACTCTACCCCAAGTTTTTGGGGTCTGGCCAAAGGCACAGCAGCAGTTTTGGGGTATCTGGAAGTCTGAAGGCACCATCAGGCTGCTGATGCACTCACCTCACAGGTACAGATTGACCTGCTGGTGGCACCATAGCCCCCTAGGGATTCTGTTCTTAGGAAGATCTGAATGCCCAGGTTGAGTCATTCCAATGTGAGTGACAGGAGGGCATGTTCCAGATAGAGGGATCAGCATGTGCAAAGTCCTTGTGGACCCAGCAAGAGAGTAAGCTAGTTTTAAGGGAAGGAGGGAGGAAGAACGAGAGAGAAACAGGAAACGGAGAGAGGAAGAGGAAGAGAAAGGGGGAGAGACAGGGAAAGCTGAGTGGCAGGAGAGGGGTGGGGTTGATAAGGGGCCCAGCCGGCTGGAGCATGATACTTGGGAGGACAATGAAGTTGAGAGGATAAGGTTCCATCTTCCCCATGTTTCAAGACAAAGAACTGTCCTCTAACTGCCATCCCAGGAGAATATTTTCTCTAAATTCAGAGAAAACTTATCAAACTGGCAGGCACTCTTTGCTGGCAAGAACGCAGTTCGGTTGAGAGGCAGCAATGGGCATTCTAAATGGTGGCGGGTAAACTGTTCATGTCCAAATCCAGGAGAGTTTGATGTACTTTTATGGGAAATGACTCCGAGTTTATCTGTTCTGCCTCTTTTAAATGAAACAAAAAAAAAAAAAAATCCAAACCACCACCTTCTGCGGAATTCTGTAGAAAATACTTATAAACGCATTGTAATACACCTAGGATGTGTTTTTGAACATCTAACTCCCAGACTTGCCTTGCCTTACTCGTGGACTGCAGGCCGTTTGATTTGTTTCTTGTGTTTAAGGAGTTACTGTGTAAACTTCTTTCCAGACTGCCATCTTACTTGGAAATGATGCCCACGTCGGGTGCATTTCATGCTAACGTTTATCTCCCCAGTCCAGAAGAACACGCAGTACGTCCTCATATTCGACGCGCTTGTCATCGTGACATGCTCGGCGTCCCTCATCCTGTGCACCAGATCCATCGTGCTCGCTGTCCGGCTGCGCAGGGTGAGTGTGCCTTCGGTCTCCCATTGGCCCTGCGCTGGGGTCCCTGCTGCTTTCGAGCCTTGACTAAATCATAGATTAGACCCCTGCGTGTGATTGCCACCCTGGGAGGCATTAAACACCGGAGGCGCAGGAAGTGATAAAGGCTCCGGTGTGTCAGGGGATCAGATAATTACCCTGCTTAAAACTGAACTGGTAAACACAGGTGCACAGTAGTGAACTCAAGCTCTTGAATGTTTCCAGAATAAATGAGGTCTCTTTACGTGCAGGAGTTATCTTAAGCATAGAGGCGTGGTATGTGAGTAATAAGCACAAAATATTATATTCTATTTTGGGGGGTCAGGGTGGGGGGATTTTTCCCCAGCAGTACTCAAGCAGTCTGGGAGCCCGTGCTGGAAATAATCGGCTTGGCTGGCAGTTCACTGCAAGGGCCTGGGGATGTGGTACTGCTCAGATCCTGTGGTATGGAGCCTCAGGCTTCCTGAGATCTTTCAGCTTTCCCCAGCAAGACTCAGGAGACCAGGTGATGCACCCTAACCCCTGTACCATCTGCAGCCCACTGCATTCCATTTTTTTGTCAAGTAGTATTTTTTTTTCAAAAAATTCTCCCCTGGGTTTAGTTATACCATTTTTTTTTTTGTTTTGCTTTTTGGGTCACACCCGGCGATGCACAGGGGTTACTCCTGGCTCATGCACTCAGGAGTTACTCCTGGCATTGCTCGAGGGACCATATGGGATGCGGGGAATCGAACCCAGGTGTCGGTTGCATGCAAAGCAAATGCCCTATCCGCTGTACTATCGCTCCAGCCCCACTTATACCTTTTAACATTAGGCCTCTGTTGAATAAATACTCCAACTCACCGCAAATCTTATCCTGGCTCATGACTCGTGTGTTGATTAGAGCTGAGACCCTGAGACCCTGAGGTCTGCATTGTACTTTTCTTACCCCTGTACATTGAGGAACGTACTGAATAAATATTCATCTTTCTTATCCATCCACCTTGGATCCCTTGAAATTTTGAATCCAAGGTTGGGGTCCTGATTCTACCAGAGTAAGGAAGAATATTGGGACGCCATGGAACCCATTGTGGCCTGCCTGGACCTGACTTAAGTTCTCTGGTCTCAGTTTCCTCCTCTGGAAGAAAGGTCTAATGCTGCCTCCCTCAGGGTGGTTGCCAGATGGAATGAGTTGATAATATATAACCAATATGTTACATATGCATTTGTACTGTGCTCTGTGTCAGATATTATACGAGTTGGTTGGAGCTGATCATGAGCATTTAATATTTGAGATATTTCACAGACCTGAGAGCTTCCAGGGGAATGGATCATTGGGAAGGTGGGTGCCATCATGCCTGTTTTTTTAAATTATTATTATTATTAATATTTTTTTTAAAATTTTTTTGGTTTTTGGGTCACACCTGGTGATATCAGGGGTTACTTCTGGCTCTGCACTCAGGAATCACTCCTGGCAGTGCTTGGGGGACCATATGGGATGCTGGGGATTGAATCCGGGTCGGCTGTGTGCAAAGCAAATGCCCTACCCATTGTACTATTGCTGTGGTTCAGCATCATGCCTGCTCTTGACATGGTTCTACAGAGTGCAAAAAGGCAATATCCTAACATTTCACAGCTAGGTGCACTATTTTGCACTGGTTGTCTCTTTCCAGCAGACAGTGTGGTTGATAAACTATGTTTTGACTTATTTCCTCAGAGATTTCTAAATTTCTTCCTGGAAAAGTACAAGCGCCGTGTGTGTAATGCTGACCAGTGGGAGTTCATCAACGGATGGTATATCCTCGTGATTATCAGCGACCTCATGACAATAATTGGATCCATATTAAAAATGGAAATCAAAGCGAAGGTGAGAGTTGCCTTACTCATAGTCCGTTGTCTTTTCTGTTCTCCCAGAAAACCTGAGGCTCTCGAATATAAAAAACCATCTTGGAGACTATCATGTGATTCTCATGTTTTATTTTCCTCCTCACGCCTGTGAGAGGGAAGTCTTCCTTGCTCAATCCCTCTGAGGCAAAATAAAGAAGCTGATGCTCTGTGAAGAATGACCATCTTATGACCATCCTTTGGGATACTAAGCGTAGCATCCACTTAGGAACTGAAATTTGGAGAGGATGGCTGTTTGGGTGTGGAAAGAGCAACTGACCCGCGAACCAGTCCAGCCAACAGTCAGTGATGATCGTGCTGAGCCCTGGTGTTGTGATGGATTGGGCTGAGGGAAGGTTTACATGAGTGCACACCCTCAAGTCACTGATTTCATCTCAAAACTGTCTTCACTCTGCCAGCCAGACCTTCTCCCCTCCACACCGTGCTGCCGGTGAACAAGCCTGAACAGACTCCTGACAGCCAGAATGTTCCCTCTTCTCCATCCTGACTTTCTTCACATTAGTTTCCTCTCAGGCCTGGACTGCTCTAATAGCTTCCTCTTAGATTGGTCTGCCTCAATCATGTTTCTCAGACGTGGGCGCACAGCTGTTAAGGTCATTTTCCTGGAAGTGTTATAAGACTCTTTTTCACCCTCCTGGGACCGTCTTGGAATGAATGCTGCCTTTCAACTGGTTGATGTGGAGCGCTCATTCTTCCTTCCTCAGGGGAGGTTCTATTGACCCTGGACAGTGGAGTCCCAGCACAGACTTCCTTCCCTTTATTTCCTACACAAAACTTTGAGATCAGTCAGCACAGGTCTTTGCCTCAGTTTCCCTTTCCTTTTCAGGGTACCAGAGTGATGTCAGGATATTGAACCAACATCCTCACTATCTAGCTGGTGTCCCTTATTTTACCTCAGTGCTCACTGACCCATCAACATTGCAATTCTCAGTATCTTGCCAGCTCTTATCATTGTGCTTTCTCCAGTGTCAGTTCGTTTACCTGTAGCTCTGTCTCCCATACCCATTTGCTATACCCATGAGAACCCAGTTGGTTATCATGAACTGGGCACTGCATGTCTCATGGCACTTAGCATGTTAGAATTGTGCTCATGTTCTGGTCTCCTCAATTAGACCAAGAATTTCTGAAGAGTAGGAGCAGGATTTGCAATCATATTGAGCTTTCTTTCAAAAGTAACTGAATGGTATTTTGAAGTACTTATATTTTTTCCATTACCAAGTTAGAGGTAAATGCAGTTCCCACTTAAGGATATTATTATTTTCTAAATCGGTTTAGGGCTGGGAGATTGCTCAAAGAATTAAGTACGTGCTTTGCATGTGGGAGGCCCAGGGCTGGCATCACATGGTCCCCTGAGTACTGAGCTGGGAGTCAGCCCTGAAAACTGCCAGGTGTGGTCCCAGAACAAAAGAAAACAAAGCAAAAAACCAGCTCAATCAATCAATATGCTAAAAGGAGTTAAATGTGCTTTGAATTGTGCTATTGCTTTCTTCTTTTATTTTTATTTTTATTTTTTTCTTGCTTTATGGGTCACACCCAGCGATGCACAGGGGCACTCCTGGCTCTGCACTCAGAAATTACCCCTGGTGGTGCTCAGGGGACCATATGGGATACTGAGAATCGAACCCAGGTCGACCATGTGCAAGGGAAATGCCTTACCCCCTGTGCTATTGCTCCAGCCCCTCTTTTCTCTTCTTTTAAACTCTTAGTATCACCCATCGAGAGGCAAGAGAGTCATTCTTAACCATTTTAAAGTGAGGTTGATAACTGAGTGGAGTAACACTGTGTCTTGTGTTTCATTCCTTAGAACCTCACAAATTATGATCTGTGCAGCATTTTGCTTGGAACGTCTACACTATTTGTCTGGGTTGGCGTCATCAGATACCTGGGCTACTTCCAAGCTTATAACGTAAGGAGGATGCAGAACTACTTTTGACCAACTGGGGTTGATTTTTATCTCTTTCTTGGGTTTGAGTTTCCACGTTCTCATTTCCCCCATTGTGTGATTTTCTTCTCAGGTACTTATTTTAACGATGCAGGCCTCCCTGCCAAAAGTTCTTCGCTTCTGCGCTTGTGCTGGTATGATTTATCTGGGTTATACTTTCTGTGGCTGGATCGTCTTAGGACCATATCATGCCAAGGTATGCAGTGCTCATTTTTCCTTCTTCTGATGAGGTACTGTTGACCCTGGACAGTGGGGTTCCAGCCCAGATCTCCTTCCCTTTATTCCTTGCACCCAGTTTTGAGGCCAATTAGCACAGGTCTTTGCCTCAGTTTCCCTTTGCTTTCCAGGATGCCAGAGTGATATCAGGGTGTCAAACCAAGGACTACCCAGCCTCTAGAGCACACATTTCAGAGTTGTTTGGAACTGGTTTAAGGGCTAATATATTAATCCCACTGTTCACCTAATGAGAAATGTTCAGATCACTATGGGAAAAGTAGAAAAAATTGCGTGAGGAAATTATTACAAAATCTTTCTAAAGTAGCAAGGTTTTCATTCCAGTTAGCTGAGGGGAGTGGAGCTGGACCAGTATCACTCAGAATGTTCCTATCAGGTATGTGATTAAATTATTACCCATTTCTTTCTTTGAAGGTGGTTTTGACCATAGCTTCATCTTTGTGATTTCTTATAGACTAGTCAGTGGCTATATTCTAAACTATTTCAAGGCTTTCAGTGGTATCCTAGTTACGGGAATATCAAAGTGTTATCGTCAGATGTTATGCTTTAAAATGATACAACATTGTCAACTGTGTATATATATATAAAATATATATATGTGTGTGTATATATATCAATATATATATACATATATATTGATGTACCACTATATCAGGAAATGAAATACAGTAGGTAGGCCTTGTTTCATATGTTTTTTCTTCTTTTTGGGTTTTTGGGCCACACCCGGCGGTGCTCGAGATTTCTTTTGGTTCTATGTGCAGTGTTCACTCCTGATAGGTTTACAGGAACATATGGGGCACTGGAGAGCCAGCGTATTCAAAGCATGTGCTTTACTCATTATATTATCTCCCCAGCCTGGGTAGGTCTTGGTTTAAACCAAAAAAAAAAGTAAACAATGTTACTACTGCAACTTACAGATTTTATTCCATTAGCATTTTGCAGTTGGAACAACAATTAAACTGTTAGCAACTATCACTCTATGTTTATGTGTTAGGCACTATATGAAGCATGTCTGTCTTCTCTTAGCACAGCCTAGTGTCCCGTTATTTTGTCTTAGGTGCTCTTTAAAAAGAAAGGGGTGAAAAAAAAGACAAAAAAAATTTTAAAGTTCATATAACATCTCAGCCTTGTTTTGAGCACAAACATTACGTTAACAAAATGTGTGACTAAATTTAGTTTGCAGTCTATCCACAAAGCATGAACAATCTACAAACCTCAAATCAAATTTTAGGATTATAGCCAGGCTTTCTCCCCTTTAAAAAAATCTCATTGAATGTGCTCAAATAGGGTGGCTATTTCTTCTATTTGAGAAAACTCTATGCCAAACAAAATGACAATCTCTGGGTAAATAGTAAACCTTGATCATTTTATTATCCCTCAGTTTCCATGCCACTGCTTTAAAGGTGATTCATGAGTAAAAATTGTTCTTAGATATACTATTCTGGTTGTTGTATTTTGGAAAACACCAGCTGGTGCTCAGGGTTTACTCCTGGCTCAGTGCTCAGGGATCACTACTTAAGGGACCATATGTGGTGTCAAGAGATCAAATCTAGTTAGACACGTGCAAGGTGAGTTCCCTACCTGATGTTCTATTATCCCACCAAGATATAGATATATATATAGATATGGAATGGCAGAGATCTTCCTGATCTGCAGAACTTACTGTCTTTGTGCCCAGGGAAATCTATATCCCCCAGCTGCCCCCCACTGCACTTTTTTGTTTGTTTCTGATTTTTGCCTCATGCTCTGGATGCGTTTACACATTTTTGTCACTAGAGGGCAGTGTTGCTCTGTGTGGAATAAATACAGCGCCTAAGGCGTTTGACTGAATGCACTGACCCCAGGCCTAGATGAGGGGCCTGTCTTTGCCCTCTCCCCTCCTTATTCTTAAAGGTACTCAGCTAGAGTTCCTTGAATTTACTATGATACTCTACACAAATAAAATTTGCTAAAATTTACACTCTATGTACTAGGTCAGATGCCCAAGTACCTTTTCCTCCTTCACTGTTTACTGTCCCAGTAGCACCATGGGGGACATTTTTTTTTTTTTATGGAAAATAGGGATATTCATATGCTAGATAGTTTTCTTGAGAGTGCACACTTACTTAGTGAATGGCATTGTAGCGCTGTAGCAGGCCCAGTAACGTCTCCATTGTGAGACTTGTTACTGTGTTTGGCTTATCGAATACATCACGGGTAGCTTGCCAGGCTTTGCTGCGTGGGCGAGATACTCTCTGTAGCTTTCAGGACTCTCCGAGAGGGGTGGAGGAATTGAACCCTAGTCGGCCGGGACGGCCGTGTAGAAGCCCAACTGCTGTGCTATTGCTCCAGCCAGTGAATGGCAGAGATAGAATTCACATGGAGGCCTGCTGACCCCAGTGCGTTCTCTGTAGGGCTCTTGGTGTTATCCCAGAGGCTACTGCAAACGCGCATTTGACTTGATCCGGGGATAGATCTGGGAGAGGACTGCTGAGTGCTCACTGCTCTTGGCGTGTGTCAGGGCTTCCCAGGGGGAATGACATGATTCCAAGTCCGTATGCTCATGCGTCCCCTTCAAACGACAGGTGAGATTAGGACACTGGGGACCAGCTCTGTGTAGCAAGACTTCCTCAACCTTTTCCACTTGCAGCCTACTTTCGCTAAGAAACAACGCAATATAAATATTTTTTGAGTGCTGCTAGAGATACCACAGATTCATTTTGTGGTTCATTTTGAATTACTTTTTGGTTTCTGTTGCTCAGCCCGTTTGATTGTTGTGAACTTTCCATGACCTCTGCACTTGTTTATGCCCCCCTCCCCCCCCCCCCCAATTTGGGATCACGACCCACCATTGAAGAAGTAAAGCTAGAGTACAAATGTGAGGAGCACTGAAACAGAGCCATGGGTGTGCTTTAGCATTCTCCTTCAATAAAAATGTATAAAGAAACTGATGACTTTGATTTCAATCAGGCATTTAATCTAGTATGCCCAAAATATTACTTCAGCATGTGTTCTGTAATAAATAAAGGCTGAGATGAAACTGAAGGACAGTCCGGCACTTGCCAAGTATGAGGCAGATCCGGGTTCAATTCCCAGAATCTCATGGCCTTCTATGCATGGTCAGTATAGTCTTGGAGGTCCGAGCACTGCTGGGTGCAGCCTTGGATGCCGCTGGCATTATCAGGGTGACCCTGGTATCCCCAGCAGTGCAGGGTCTGAGCAGCATCGTCACTATTGAACTGCCAGCCTGGTTGGTGGCCCCCAGGATTCCTGAGCACTGTTTGGGAGCCCCAGCCCAGCCCCTAACCCCCAAATGTTGGGATGTGTTGTCTCTCTTTTTCTCTTTAGAATCAGGTGTTGCTTTATCATGGCAGCACAGCTCAATTTGGACTAACTACTCTGTGGGCTCTGTGGTCATTGGTGGCCCATGACTCCAAGGTCCCCAGGGTCAGCCTTCCATGACCCCACTGACAAGGGTCACCACTGTCTCGAGGTGCCCAGCAGATGTGATGTTCTACCTCAGTATCCCATGAGGGGGAGTTGTAAGGGTGCCAGTTGATCCACTTCCTTTAGTGAACCGGGATGAAGCTTTCAATCTGGATCTGGATTTTGTGCTTTTCTTCCCCATAGAGTTCCTACTTTGAATTAGAAGTGAAAAACTTTTCTTACCCCTACACATACACCACACACACACACACACACACACACACACACACACCCCATCAGAATGTTCTGATTCCGCCACAGACTGCTAATGCAAAGACCTTCCATGTTCCTTCCACAGATCTTTGAAAGCCTGGGCTGCACAGCAAGCATTTCCTGAGATCTTTAGAATCACAGCAGCCTTGGGTGTGGAAACACTCTTTTACACAAACAAACTGAGAGCAGCTCGGAGGAACGAGAATTTTGTACTGCTGGCAGGGGGACATTCCCCATCCCCACCCTCCCAACCCCGATGTTAGCTTTCTGTTCTCCTGCTAGACGTCCGATTTCAAGGGTTTGGGTGGAAGAGAGAGGAGATATCATACGTGTTGGGCTGATGTTCATTCCTGCACTAATGGACTTTGGCACGGCATCCTTTTAAAGTGTCCAGGCACAGAGGGCGGGAGACTGTTGATGCTTAATAATTTAAGATGAGGTTTGGAAGTGCATTACTCTAATGTGGCTCTTAAACTTCCAGAGCACATTTTTATTATTTTTTTTAAACTGTGAGGCATGAATGATAGTCTTACATTGCCCCATTTTACAAATGGGAAGAACAAAGTGTTGAATAATGGTTGGACTCAGCCGTGCCATGGGTGGCAGTTGGGCAGAACCCGCACCGCAGGTTTTAACCTCTGGTTTGGGCCAAGTGGTTATTTTATGCAAAAGAACTGCTGGTCCGGTAGAACACTTCACCTGGCTGTTGCATAAGATCCTTAGCACCAGCTCTTGAGGCAGATTTTTCTGTCATTTTCTCACATAAGCCATTGTAGATTGTTTTTATACATTTAGATGAAAGGGGTTTTTTTTGTTTTTTTTTTTCCTCCATCACAGAGTGATCATTTTGTAACAAATGATTCGGTTCTTGCTGGGAAGAAACTACCAAGACTTTTTTTTTTCAAATTGAGGTACCATTTAATATTTCTCAAATGCCTACTGGAAGTTTAAATATTGTCAGATCTTCTAGACAGATGTCCCAGAGGGCAGGTAGCACAGTAGCACTGTAGCACTGTCCTCCTGTTGTTCATCGATTTGCTCAAGCAGGCACCGGTAACGTCTCACAGCAAATTGTGAGACTTGTTGTTACTGTTTTTGGCATATCGAATACATCACAGGTAGCTTGCCAGTCTTTGCTGTGCAGGCGAGATGAGAGGGCAGGTACCATGGCTTTTCTCTCTGTACCCCTGCCCTCGTGCCCACCGGCGGGCATTGAATATGGTTCAATATATTTGTAAAATGAGCGAGAAACAAAGAGATAGAAGTGCCTGTTTTCAGAGGGTG